AGTTTTATTGGTAGCCGATATAATATATTGGATTCCAATATCCATAATACGCTAAGTACACTGGAATCGTAAACCTTTATTGGATCCCCATAGACACATGTGGATCCAATAAGGGTTTATACGGTATTGGATTCCAATCTTTTCAGCGTATTATGGATATTGGAATCCCATAACAAACCCTTATTGTAATACAATACAATAAATGTAATGTTTTCCAATACACTGTCCATATCGTATTGCAATACAATAAAAAGATATTGTTTACCAATATCCATAATACGCTGTTTATATTGGGGTTTTCCAATAGGGCGCAGACACTCGGTCGTCTGCCGATGGCAACTGCCCCAGATGGAGCAGAAACCGAAGAAGCCCAAGATATGGGGGTCTTCACAGCGGACATGTTGGACGCCAGCCCAGTGTCCAGACGACAGCTAGAAGACCTGACGGGGAAGGACCCAATTATGCAAAGCCGACAAGACACGATCAGCAGAGGTTGACCAAAAAGACTTTTGGACAGTTGCCTTCAGCCATACTGGCATCATCGTAATGCACTCACGCTGGAAGGGGCCCTCATCTGCATGGCTGGAAGAGTGGTGATTCCAGAATGTGCACGGAGGGCATTTCTATTGGAGCTTCATGATACTCACAAGGGAGTCAATGCAACTAAGGCACTGGCACGCACGCTGGTGTGGTGGCCAGGCATTGACCGTGAGGTGGAAGAGTTTCTTCACCGGTGCACAGTGTGCCAACGGGCGGCTCCCATGCCACCGAGTAGGGAGCCACTGGCATGGCCAGCAACTAAACAGCCGAGGTCAGGCTGTTTGTGCAAGGGACTTTGGTAATGAACCCCGCTGGCTGAGTGGAACCATCACGTAAGAACTTGGAAACCGCATGGCGCTGGTGCAAACACCTGGTGGGATGATCCGCAGACATCATGACCAGCTACGCCTGAGGCTTGAGGTCAACACACCTGACCCTCTGCACCAACCCAGTGAGCGCAATGAGGATTTAACGTTAGAATGGGGCCAATCCTCAGTGGCTCCAGAGACTTCAAGGGCCACCGTGGAGCCAAGCAAGGAGCAGCGTCCAGTGCAACAACACCGACCGCCCGAGCGGCTGGACTTGTAGTTCCACCATTCCACCAAGTGTGGGGGAAGTGTTGCGGCCGGAAGCGGCAACACTGGCCAGAGCCGCCAGCCTTCTTCCGGCAAAGCAACAACTGTTGTCGAGCGCGACGCCATCACGCCGACTAGGGTCGGACGTCTGTAACCTGTACCCTAACAATGTATTCACGTTTCTCGTCTCTTATAAAAAACCCGAGTTACAAAGCGCTGTATTTCCTGACGCGCTAACAGTACTAGTAATCTTATTATCAGTAATAGTAGTAGTATTATTGCTCCCAGCAAGGACAGATGCTGTTATTATTATTATTATTATTATTATTATTATTAATATTTTTATTATTATTATTATTAATAATTGTCGGCTTAGACGGACCCGTCATTTGACATACCGAAAGCGTTGTGTGAATAAAAAGATTATTATTATTATTATTATTATTGCGCACAGCAAAGGACGCATGCTGAATCTGCTCCCGCTGCTTCTATGGAATACTGCTGTTTCTACACTGTTCAGGGTGCCAGCTATGTGCCCACACCAAGTATACCTGCTGGACGGAAAATAAGACCACCTTTCTGCAATCTGGGGTAAGCTCCTTAATCTGCAAGAGTTGCAAAACATCAGCGGGGCTGCTAGTCCTAACAGCAGAAGCCAGGCCGGATTTGACGGAAGCGTCGTTCAGCCACCACTCCGCACCGCCCTCCCCCACTGCTTCCACTCGTTCGGAGAAACCTTCCTCTTCCCCAGGCGGTCCTCATGCAGACATGAAATCCTTACAAGCCCTCCTCCTCAACTCCCTCGAGGGGATCTCGTTCCTCACACACGAGGTCGCTGCTCTTTCATGACGAGAACGCGCAGCTCTGCCAAGGGTATAGGTATACCTCCCAGCTGCACGCAAGTGCCATACTGTCTTAGCGGACTGAGCTCGGAGCTGTGCGTAACACTCGGAACCAATGGAACCGGCCGGCAGGAAACAGCTGCCTTTTTCCTAAACTGCGGCGATGAGCCGCCACCATCCCCTTCCTTTGGTGACCCTTTCCAACCTTCAGGGCATCCATGCCATCAAGCTCCATCAAACTTCAATGGGGCTGGGTTCCGCAAGGAGGGGCCAAAGGTCCCCAGGGCAAGACGGCCGTTGTTGAGGGCAAGTGTGTCAGCCAGCTGTACACCTGTGGCACTGCCACCCTCTCCACCACGTCGCCAACACGCTGTGCACATGACGCATTTCGGCCCATCTTGCGATCCTCCGAGCCTTTAAACCCACATTAGGAAGCAGGGCCCTCTTCGCGAGCTTGCGTGCACCCGACTGAAGACACGGCATGAAAGCTACTCGTCCTTACGAGTGATGGCTGCAAATGAAGAAATAGAGAAACTTTTTGATCCCCTTCTCTGGCCAGAGGGAAGCCTTTTCAACGAGTTGACAGGTCAGCTGAATGAGAGCCACACATAGCAAGCGGTATTCGAAGCGCCTCTCTTCCATAATGCCGGAACAGATACGTAACCTAGACATTTACTATCAGAATGTCCAAGGTCTTCCCACAAAAGCTAACTTTTTTTCTAATGTAACCCTAACTGATGTGTCTATTATTGCGCTAAACGAGACCTGGCCTTGTTCTAACATTTATTTATCCAATGTCTTCCCACCTAATTTAACAGTACTTAGACGTGATCGTGTATTCTCTACTAGGAAAAAGACGTTGGGTGGAGTGCTGAGAGAAATTGATGCGTCCTTACAACGTGTTAGGCGTCCGGATCTTGAGACATTGTTTGAGTCAGTGTGGATAGAGCTGCCATGTGCGAATGGCGAGCATATCCTCCTGGGCGCTTATTACTTGCCCTCTGACACGTCTCCAGATGGTTTTCGCCAATGTCTACTGGGCATTGAGTGTACAACCAAGGCCCTGAATAAATTCAAATTTATAGTTCTTGGAGATTTTAATGTCTGTAACATATGCTGGAAAGCAGCCTCAGTGTCCTCTAGAAGTTACTATATTATTCAGAAATCTAATTTCTTGCTGAATTTTTCATCATTTACAAATTTAAAACAATACAACTGTATCTCAAACACCCAGGGCAACATGCTTGATCTATGTTTCGCAAATCTAGACTGTACAGATATAACAGAGGGTATGTCAAGCTTGGTTTCCTTGCTCCTCTCCTCTCTCTCTCCCCCCCCCCCCTCCCTCCCTCCCTCCCTTTCCTCCCCTCCCCCCCCCTCCTCCTCCTCCTCCTCCTCCTCCTCCTCCTCCTCCCTCCCTCCCTCCCTCCCTCCCTCCCTCCCTCCCTCCCTCCCTCCCTCCCTCCCCCCCCCCCCCGGACGGACATCATGCCCCACTGGAGATCAGTATACCTATCTGACATGGCATGAGATGTTATTCACGGAGACATCCTGAAGTGAATAGACACAATCTTTCCGCTGGAGATTACGTTAGTTTGTACAATCATTTCTCCAATTACGACTGGTCCTCAATCACTCCGTGCTCCCGACGTTGCCCAAAAGGTTCACGATTTCGCTCGCATCGTTCAAGAACGAATGAATCAATTCATCCCGTTACAGGGGGGGGAACACCGACGGCCGCCGTAGAGGCAAAGTGTGTTTCTGATGAGCTCTGTGTTGCACACCCAAAAGTTCAGAAAAATCATATTCTGCACAAATTAGTGATTACCACCATATTCTATTAAGCAAAAGGCACATGAAGACACCAGTTTTTCGCCGGTGAGTGCAATTGTGGTGAAATTAGGAAGACTTTCCCGAGCGGGAAGGCTAAGCCTTCTGTTAGCGTTGTAGGCCTAGCTAATAATACGGCGATGAATCAGGCCCTGCCCGGTGGAACCGATGCGGGCTGCACGGCTGTCACGTATGCCTCGGAAATCAGCTTGGATATAAATAAAAATAATTTCATCTACCGAAAAGATGCAAGTGCAGCAGATAACCAGGATTACCCATCGTCGGGAACGAAAAAAACAAGGCAACTCTGGATCAACGTAGTCTTGAAGGCACAGCGTCGACGAGCTCGGCAACAGCTAAACCTAACTCAAAAGCAAGTCACGCTGCCACCTTCGCTTTCGTCGCCGAGGCAGCTGAGAAGAGCTACGACCCGCAGACCTGCTCCCACGCCCACACCCTTTCCCCTGGAAGAGTTTAAGCGAATTTTGCGACCATGCAACGGACTCAACGTAGGCCGGCTCCAAGCGTCCTCACTGCTCTAGCCCAGCTTCAGGGCACCAGCACAATGGGGCAACAAGCCAACAGGTGCCTGCAGATCAACCAGAGCCAAAACACTGCAATAGTGAGCATCCCATCTAAAGTTGCGAAACTATTACTTCACATAACCCAAACCAAGATTGGCAAAGCAGAACACACAGTGGAGGTCTGCGGACTTGCGCCAAACGATGCAGTAAGGAGTTTTACAAGAAGTCCAAGCCCAGTTTTCGATTCAAGAAATCATGAAAAATATAGACCAAGATGAACTTTACCTGAAAGACGCAAGGAGTGCAGCAAAGCACACCCGGAAGAGAAGCACTCAGGAGAGACATACTGCGCAAACTGCCATATCAGGCAAATTGACACAGGGTGACACCTTTCTAGCCAAGAAGAATGCAAATGCGTGTCTCCAGAAGAGACCAAAGGATCCGACGATGCAAGGAAGGTTGCAACACAACCGCACAACAACGAAGCGTGAGGAGGCCGAAACAAATAAAACAGATTCTCACCGCGTTAAAGATTTCCCTCCGCTAAGCAATTATCACACGGGGCACACCAGGTAAGCAGACGTACAAACAAGCCCTTAGAGCAAAAGGCGAAACAGCACGACCCCGAAATGGGAAAGCAGCATCCATGTCAAGCATCCAAGACGCTGCCAGTCAAGCCCAATGTGGCTTAGGCAGGTCTGACTTCAACCTCGCTTTGTTCATATGCAATAAATTATTATTATGTCCTCGTTTATGGCTTCATGGACAAAGACATTCAGCTGGCTCCAGGCCAAGCCCACCATAGCATTCTATCCAAAGCAACAAGCCCAAACGTCAGCTCGCAAAAAGTATAAGAGTCGATGAGACACGATTCATGGGGCAGCAATGTTGACCAGGCGGAAGCAGAAACCAGGACCTTTAGACAATGCCGCAGCTTCATCTTCTCTTGAAACGCAATATCAAACAAAGAAATGGCTGCATGCATCACTCACCTTGCAGACATCTACGTAGCCGCTTCCGTTGCAGTCTTACCTCATTCCTGATCTAGACTGCAGAGACAGCAGATGCCGTTCAGCGAACACGCTGCCGCTCGAATCAAGCCAAGTTCTGCGGGATGCACCAGACAAAATATGCTCGTGAGCTTGTATCATTAACACAATCACATTTCATATGCCAGAATATCCTACCTTAAGATGACAAGTGCTGCTAAAATGTAAATGAAGACACAGCCTACTGTACGTAAATTTTCTGGATGTTGCACCATTTTGGCATACCTTACAATAATAATAATAATGCTTTATTTGAATCATGCCCCAGAACGACCACTAGGTCATGTGTGGTGGCACATAAAATGGTAGTACATGACTTAACACAATGTACCCCATTTGTAAAAAAGAAAAGACTAACATGCAATCAGGAATTGAAAAGATAAAAAATTAGCTCCCTTCTAAACACTGATATATCTGAAAAGATATTAACATGAGAGGACAGTTCATTACCACAAATCTGCATCCTTACCATCGGTGACAATTTCGATTGAATGGAGGGGTAAAATATACTAAATTCTCTAACAACACTGTTACAAAAGCAAGAAAGAAAAACATCACTTATTTAAGCCACCAGCAGACATCCAGAAAAAACCACCTTGGGACCTCGCGATACTGCTCACACGCCAGTCTTTCTCGGCAAATTACCATGTGCAGTCTCCACATTAACAGTGCGCACGTTCCGACAGTGTACAAACAAAAAATAGGCAAGGACAATAGCGAGAGGAAAATGGGAGCTCGTTCGTGGTGCCGTGCCTCGCATCTCCCCTGTAGACCAAACTGACCATTTTAAACCGAAGCAGCGCCAACGGGCATGGCCTAAGAAGTATGAACGTAAGCACAGTATCTCTAACCCTGCCATGTCCACGATGTGTGAGCATCGACAGCTGCTGGAGGAAGCACGACAGGTTGAACCTTGCTTTCCCTCGGAGGGGTGGAAGGGAGATTTGTTTTTGAAGGCCTCGAAACTAAGCGCTCATCTAGCATGCTGCAAGGGCTTGATCGTGGACGGTGAGTATAGTTTAGATGACCGTCAAAGTTCTCTAAGGGGCCTGAGTACCCTTTAACAATTCCTGAGGGGTGTAAGAGACCCATCATAGCTTTTTGAGAGACCTGTGAGGTCTGTCCCAATCCTTTTCGTGAAACTACAGCCCCTATCAAAAATTATTTTAACGGGTCTCTAGGTCAGATCATGCGACCATTCAGGATACATTCCGTCGGGGAAGCCACTCGGCCATTTTGCAACGGGTTGCGCGACAAGTTTTAGAAATATAGGAGACATTCCCCAGTCCCTTCCCGTAGTGGCGCGGCCCCAGCGAAGAGAAAACGGGCACGCACGAAACAACCCGTTGTGGAAAGGACGTTGCTCCTCTCCACTTCAGCTCTTAGTTTTCACCATTTCCCCCTTCACACGTTTTGCTGTTTGATTGTAGATAACCTGTTTTAGTCAGTCGAAATACAGTCTTTGTCAGAATCTGGTCACCCTGTTTTTTCTCAGTTTTTGGAGACCAAGTGTCGCGTTTTCCGGGTTCAGGGTCTAGTTGGAGGAGTCCCGGCACACTTATGACACAGAGCTCTGCTTTTGCTGATTGTTTAAGGGCTTGCTTCGGTATCAAGGAGGCAGCCGGGCATGCTGCCTATATTTCGTGTGCAGGCTTTTTTGCCCCTACGTGCCGAACCTTGGTTTTCCCACGACAGGCTGTTTGTTACTTCCAGGATTGCATACGTCTGCTCCTTAAAAACCGACGACCAGTTTGCGCTTTCCACTATTCCCTCGCTTCCTCCTCTCCCATGGTGAGGAGGAAATTCTGCCTTGCAGAATCTCGAGTCTGGTCGTCGGCCTTTAACCCCGAAACGCAGGGCCAAACGTAAAGATTCACACAGGAAACCAGGTCCGGGAGACAGATGAGTCGATGGCCGTTAGGTCTCTCGCTAAGCCGGAGACAAGGTGCCTCTGGTTCTTGTAATCGTACCTCTCCCATGATGCTCACAGACCAGGCATGATACTTTGGAATGACTGGCATACTTTTCTTCTTGCTCGATCATCTCCGCTTACGTTTCTCAGCCCCAAAAACGTGCTTCGGTTGACATGCGCCGACAGTTTGGTTTTGCAGCGAAGAGCAGTTGGTTGGCGTCCTGCATTAGGCTATTTCCTACTTACACCAAAATTCATAGCATGCTAACCCAGGAGCCAAATAATTGTGGCCCGAGAGAGACTGGCCCGAGCCAATGAGATTATTCTGTCTCCGTTAAAGCCCCAAGATCTGTACCATTCTTCCCACTAATGAATGTACTCTTATTCGACGTATCTTTTATTTTAAATGTAGAACCTGGGTATAACTGTAATATTTGTAACGCTGTCACTGGACCCATCAAGTGTTCATCTCGTAGTACGTAATCTGCCCACCCAAGTCTCCGATTACAAGCTACCAGCACTGGTTCAGGGATGAAAATGTTTGATAGCTCAAATGTCTTTGTGTAGCAGGAAAAAATGGTGCTTCTAGATAACTTTAAACGACCAATCTCAGTGGCCAATGGTCAGAGCAGCACAACTGACATTGCTAGGTCAGATATACTTACGAAACAAAAGATCTGGTGGCTGTTCCTTGTAGCCTCTACCCAAGATTGAGGTAAACAACAATGGGCGATGCAGGTTTGCAAGACATTATTTACATGGTTGAGCAAGCCAATTAAATTACCGACATAACGTTTTTTCCTGCCAGTTTGACTTTCAATCAGCAGGTTCTCTCGAAAGTCATAAAACCATACCAGTAGCCCCATTTTAGTACAAGTGCACTTTCAGACAACTCCTGGAAATGTTATGCGAGAACATTCATGGCAAATACGGTTCCATTTTTGTCTGCAGGTGACAGATGCTACCTCTGGAGCCCTGGCTACTCACCCCTATTTCTGGCAACCCCAGCAAGAGGCAGCGCTCAACAACAGCGTGTTGAGCGGTGCGTCTTGTCGAGTCTGGCCTCGGCCAACACCGCTCAACACGCTGTTGTTGAGCAATGCATTGGTAAACTGAAAAACCAGTTCCGGTGCCTGCAGAAGTACCACGCTCTGCACTACGACCCAGAAAGAGCACGTAATTTAGCAACAGGATGTGCTATTCTGCACAATGTTTGCTTACACAGCTCCGTTCCGGAGTCTGCCCCAGGCTCCTTTGTGTAGGAAGAGTCTGACTGCGGGTACAATGATGACAGTAGCGACACCAACAGCGACACTGGCACTAGGAGCCTCAAAGAAAGAACACTAGCAATGCAGCGTCGGAAAGTCAGGAAGGTGGACGCCCTCTCTCATCGAGCTTGTCATGCTCTGCGGTGTTGGCATGCTTGCCGTAATCATTCAGCTCACTGGAGTCGCGCTGTGCAAGCTTAATCATATCTCATCAAAGACTGGGAAGCACAGAAGGTGTACAGTTCTACATCCATGTAATGTGGGTGGCTGCACAAATTTTAGCTCTGATGCGGGAAAGTCAAATTTGGGGGTTTTACGTGCCAAACCTATGACGGGCATCTGGCACCTATGACGGGCATCTGGCACACCCCAGCGGAGGACTGAGGATTAATTTGGACCACCTGCGGAGCTCGGTTACACAGTGCCTTCTCTGCAATAAGCCTCCGTCATATTGCGGGCACCTCGGTCGGGATTCGAACCCGCCACCTGAGGACCTGTAGGCCGGTGCTCTCGCCTCAGAGCCACCGAGGCGGCTTCTGATGTGGGAAATCGCTTATTGGGTTGGGGTGAAGGCATGTTTTTGCATCCACATACATCATGTGCACGCAGAACTTCACACATTCTATGCTCACCAGTTCGTTGCAATGACATGCTCTTAAATCGTAATGCAGATATTTTTTTCTTCCTTTTTTACTTTTTTTGTTTCTCTTTATAAGCCTAAGCAGTCAATGTAGTCCACTTGTTTGCTCTCGTAAATGTCTCTGTCAGGGTTTCTTTTGGTACACATTTTCATAAAATTTGGCTGATAAAACACTGTGTTCAAAGAGGTTTTGGCAGAGCTTTGGTGGGCCGATACAAATTTTTTTTTTTTTGAGTGGGTGCATTTTTTTAGTTGCACTACCTGCACCGGTGTGAAAAAGTGCAATGTGGTGTACTTCTGGCATGTGTAAGAAAGTGCAAGGTGGTGTACTTCTGGCATGTGTATCGAGATAGAACCGTAAATACATTGCCCTACAATTTTCTTCACCAGTGCAGGTGTGGCTAAAAAGATGCACCTAGAGTCGGTGACAGGTCAAGAACGAAGTGGAAGCTCCTCCCACCCTTTTCCACTTCAGCCGAGCAAACGTTAAAGGGCAACTCCGGTCCATACTTTCGGTTTTGGGATTATGACTGTTTTTAGTCCAGTCAGCGTCCCTGAACTGCAAGGTGCAATTTTTTTCTCGTTATTGTGCGTAGTTCTACAGATATGGACCCCTCAAAGTTTTGTTTGGGGCGCGGCCAACAAACCCGAAACTAGCCGCTCGAGGCTCCGGCAACGCTCGAAATCAACCGCTATGTGAACGTGACGTCAGGATCGTTCTCGTTCAACGAGCACGCACGCCGAGCGGCACCTACCTCTGTTGCGCTAGCCGTCTAAAGATAGGAGGTAAGCTGATTTTGTTTTAATTCTGTATACGTGGTAGTTATCCAGCATATGTAGCAAGGACTAGTGCATATACCCAAAAGCTAGCGACTTGAAAACCCGTGAACTCGTACGATTCCGTACTCGGCGGCCGCCGCCATGCGTGCGCTATGCCGTACTCGTCGCTTGTATACCCAAAAGCTAGCGACTGGAAAACAAGTGAACTCGTTCGGTGCCGTACTCTGCGGCTGTCGCCGTGTGTGTGGTCTTCCGTACTCGTCGCTAGACCTAAATTGTCATCGGGGCTCTGTGGATGGAGCGGCGTTGCTCTACGCTGTGCTGCCAGTGACGTACAGTACTGGGGGCCCTCTCACTTTCGCGCTGCGGGTCAGTCCCAGACACGAAGCTTTGAGGCTCTACGGCGCGAGCTGCGGCGTCCGAACACACGAGTGCTGGGCTGTACACCTCTGTTTTTTCGTTCTTTTTTCCTCGGGCGCATAAAAGCCGAAGTCCAAAGTCCACTCATCGAACAGCGTTCACCCACACTTTCTTCAATTTCCGGTCCGTTCGAAACTTGTGAAGAAGCACCTCCGGGTTGCACAGCGGGTTGTTTGAGCAGCCCACAGCGCTACAAGTTGCGCTCGGCATCTTTCGAGGAACAGCTGGTTAGTCTTGGGCGCACCGAGTTGCTCGCTAAAACGAGTCTTGAAGTCCTCACAAGCAAATAAACAAAAATCTATACCGAAGCTACACGGGCTACAGATAAAAGCAACGGCTAAACACGCCAATCGCAAGCCGAAGTAGCTGTGGTAGTGGCTCAAAGAAGCGCACTACGCGCAACTCCTGGACCAGAGGAAAAAAAGAGAAGGATACTGACGTCACGGCCCAATGTTGCTTTGGCGATCGACAAACCGCTTGCCGCCCGCTAAGGAGCAGCGGCTTGCGGCGGGTCGCATTTTTATTATCGGCATTAGTTGAGAATGCGGCGCCCCACGGACGTAATATTTTGGCTGGGGTCGTAATTTGCAGAGCAGTCGCTTTCTTGTATGGGATCGCCATTGTCGTGGCTTGGTTTGATGGCAGAGTTATTGCTTTTTGGTGACACCATGTTCCAAAACTTCCTTGGGTTACCATTCAAAATAAACAGCGAGTCATAAAAACAAAACTTAGCCAATTTCAACTTTTTATTGTAGTTTTTAAGGGCAAAGTTATAAGCACCCAAAGCTTGAGGTGTTAACACGTTTAGCCTTTGCAAATAGCCTTTTCTTGTTATGCAAAAAGAGCAGCATTTTGGTGAACCATGGGTTATTTGAATCAGTGCATACTCAGGCTGTCGGAACAAACATATTTATAAGACTGTTCATTTTAGCTTTAAATAATGCCGGTTTCCTCTACTGATGGAAGAGGACAATTTAAATGTAATGGTCAAAAAAGATTGTCAACCCATGATCTATTCATCTATAATCAGCCTCATTATAATCGCGAATGATCTTGGAAATAGAATGTTTGACGAGAACGGAGTGGCAAGTCGACATGTTGTAACCTATAATCACGGAGCCCGTCGCAGTATTGAATGGACTTGACAAGGTCCGGTGACGTAGTTAGTGCAGGGGTGGAACTCACGAAATGTCCTTGGGAACAGCCACGGGAGCAACTGAAACAGCTGTTTAGGAGCAGGTTGGGAGCAGCTAAAACTATTTTCTGGAGTAGGCTAGGAGCAGCTCAGATCAGTTTTCATTGCACTTCAGCTTGTGTCTTAGACACGCACGGGAGCAATTTCAATAGCGCTTAGCAGCACAGATGAACATGAGTGGTTAGGGACCTAGGTAGATGGGATAACAGTGTAAAAGGTACGTAACGTGTTACAAGATTACTTGTAATTGATTATTTTTACTGCAATTTTGTGACGCTTCGATTACTTCCTTTAAGGGGTAATGATCTTTTTAGTTGAACTAATTTTTTGCTGTAATCGATTACAAAATTACCCCCCATTACAATCTTCCTCATTTCTTTTTTTTTTTTTTTTTTTTTTTGGGGGGGGGGGGGGAGGGAGTTGGAGTTATTCAGCTCCGGGCAACGGGCTTTTTTTTTCGAAATTATTAAGCACGAGGCTGTGAGGATTAGTAGGCCACTTTACTATGCTTCTTTTTCGTGGGTACATTTTTATTTCTACACCGGAGACTACTTATGGGTATGAAAAATGACTTTATCTAGCCTCTTGTGAGGGATTAGGTGTGTGCCATCACTCACTCAGCTTTAAGCGCGAAACACACGTACAACCAAACCGTCCGATCCGACGTGCGGACTGCCGGAATGACCTTGGGGGGCGAGGGGGTTCCGCAGCATCGGAGAGCGTTGAAAACCCTTGCCTCCGACCGTCGTATTGCGCGGTCAGACGTCGGATCGGACGGTTTGGTTGTACGTGTGTTTCGCGCTTTAAGCAAAAACAGTCGAGGCTTTCTTTTTTTTTTCTTTAACAACTGAGCGCGAGATTCCACGGATTATGCTATCATAAAAAAAGTTTGAATGAAAAGTAACGTGGGAAGTAATTGCTTACTTTAGAGTAATTTTTCGATTACTTCTTTGAGGCTGTAATTGTAATTGTAGTCGGGTACTTTATACAGCAAAGTGATTGTAACTGTCATCGGTTACTTTTTCAGTGACGGGTACAAGTCTGATTATTTTCTTAGTGGCTTTCAGCTGCTCAAAATGCAAACCAGCTCTGCTTATCACACAACCCACACGTGCTCGACATAGTACTTATATGTGCGAACCACGTGACGTGCGTAAGCAACGGACGCGGAGTTGCGCGGAGGAACAGGGCACCAAATTTCGAGTTTATCCTATTGTGCAACTGAATATCGAAGCAGCAGACTACGATTAACGAAGTTATCGTATTCGAAGTGACAAGCAGGTGCAAGGTTAAAGTACACCAAACAGATCTACCGATCGCGTGAAAGCTGCTGGCCGGCAAGGTTTCGGATCGGATCACGTTTCAGTTCTATCAAATCACGATTTATCTTGCGGGAACGCGGTTCCAACTTCTAACGATAAAGTACTAAAAGTTTGAGGACACATGCGAAGTAAAAAAACATTTTTTTTGTAAACAGACCAGATGGAAAAAGAATGTTATAAAATAAAATTAGAACGAAGAAAAAAAAATTATAGAGCTATATTGACGGCACAAAATGATTTTGTAGTTGCGCCCGTGGGAGCCGCCGCAAGTCATGTGATAGACCTGTGCGCCGTCTCAAAGTCGACTCACAGTCACGCCGCCGCTGCACGCTGAGCGTGGTGCGCCGCCGTCAACTCATTTCTCCACACCGCCACCGCCGCGCAAGTTTGTCTACCCCACAGCGCTGCCGCCGTCATCTGACCGGCACACAGGTCTATAACGTCTGCTTCCGCTTTTTCAGGAGCTTTCTTTGGGTTCGAAAAGTTACCGATTAATCTTTGTGTTTTGTTGCACTTGAAATAAAGATGAATAACTAACTTTTAGAGACCATAGGAAGCTTCCGATAGAGCGGAAGCACCACGTGACAAATAGCGACCAGTCACGTGACAACTAGCAGCCACTTTTCCGCAGCGCCCGCCGGCGCCAACTACAAATTCGTATAGCGCCGTGAATATAGCTCTTAAAATTTTTATTTTCCTTGTGAATTCGTTTTATGACTTCCTTTTCCCAACCAGGCTGTTTAAAAAAACTTTATTAGTCCTTTGCATGTGTCCTTTAAGAAGTGCTCGAGCTTCCTTAGGCTTCCTTGCTGGAAATCCTTTGTATTCCTGTTACTAACAAGTGCACCAAGTGAGACACTTCGGCCATTATTGAACACTTTGAATAAACAAATATGAATAGTTGGAAGATGTTACAAAGCAGTCTACATTGATAAAAATTCATTCTTTCTGCATGTCAAGTTCGCTTGTGGCGTAATCTAAGATTACTACGACATACCAGTTAAGGAAAGTTGGTCTTCAAATGCGGACACCACACGCGAGCCACAGCGAGCTACAATGGGGAGCAGTGCCACGCTTGAGAAGCCCATCGAGGCACAGATGTTGTTTGGTCTAGCCACAGTTTACAAAATGGCCGCTGCAGCAAGAACAGCGGGACTGCGACTGCTCGCTTTTAACAATTCTGCAAAGCGGACACCTATGGCAGTTTTTCAACTGAGATGTTCAAGTAACGGTGGTGTAACCCGTGCCAAAAATGAAATGGAGCATAGAGACCCACTTTATTCGGCTGGCGGATGGAGATTCTGCACACCGACGAGCTGAAGCACTAGCGAAGTCAGTGCGGACGACTGGTGCGCACTTGCTGCTGCTTGTCCCTCTACAGCCTGCAGGAAAAGGGGAGCGCATTATGCACAAAATGCAAACTGTTACGCAACACATTAGTAAAGTTAAAAGCACGCCAGAGGTTTTCAGACGCGTTGCAAGCAATACAATACGAAACTTTTGCCAAACAACTTTTCACCTTGGTAAGCTCTGTGCAGTCATGTTGCAGAGCAGTTTTCACCATTCACCTTATTAGATTACTCGTAGACAACGAGTTACTGGCATTTTAGGTGCTCCTAAAGCACAGAAGAAAAGAGAATGGCTGTGTTAACGAAAGAAGTCGAGAAGTCTGATCAAAGGCGTATGTGGGGCGAGTAAATGCACCCTTACTCTGTTCTCTTTCCCCTTTGGAGCTGCCTTGGTGGCGTCCTTGCCTGCGCTTGCGAATGATGCATTTTAGTTACACTGACGGCAGAGTTGCCGCGTGACAAGTCCTTCAGTAACGAGGCCAGTTTCCTATAATTACACGAACACACGCTGGTGGCGGAATATTATTTATTTGTTTCTTTAGTTACTTAGAATTACCCTCAAGGCCCCGAAGGGCATTACAGAGGGGAGTGCATGGTTAGTACAGTTCTGATTTTAGCGTTATCGGTGATGGTGACAATATCATCTGGAAGGCCATTCCAGTCTACAATAGCTTCTGGTAGAAGGGAATGTTGAAATGGTCTTGGGAAGGGTAATCTTGCACGAATGATCGAGTCTTGCAGAGATATAGCTGGGCTGGCTGAGGAGAGACTGTCGTAATGGTTCCGAATAGTACATTTTATGGAAAGGCAAAGACGGGAAATTCTGCGACGAACGGAAAGATCAGGAAGAGCTAATTGACATTTCATTGCAGTGACACAAGAAAAGCGAGACTAATTAGAAAAAATAAATCGAGCAGCACGATTCTGGACAGATTCGATTTGCGTTAGTTAAAAAAAGACTGATGTGGGTGCCAGATAGCTGAAGCATACTCTAGTTTAGGGCGAACAAGCATGGCGTAAAGGAGACGTTTAAGGATAGAAAAGGCAGAGTTGAAATTGCGACAAACAAAACCGAGTGAGCGGTTTGAGGATGATATTGTCTCGTCGACATGAACATTCCTGGATATATTGGTTAAACGAACGCCTAGATATTTTTACTGTGTAGCAGTCAGAATGGTAGTGCCATTGAATGTTAACGAGTTTAAGGGCTGGAAGCAAGAATGTGTAAAGCAAAGGTGTGTGCATTTGCTAATGTTGAGACACATCTGCCATGTGTGACACACTGCTTCAAGAGCTTTTTTATATAACTTGCGATTCAAATAAAATGAAATTTACATGGCTTATTTGGCATTACAATCGGACTACAAATATGTACTTTGTTTTGAGGTAACCTAATTAGATTTATTAATATTAAAAATTTAATTTGCAATGATTATGGAAAGGATTAACGCAAATTAAAATACTGAGCTCAGAAAATAAACATAGATCAGTGAACTGAGAGGTATGTGCAATCCAATAAGGTATAAATGAAAGCTCTAGGATGATTTATAAATTACTTATGACACTTTTGAACCTTCCAGTTTCAAAATCATTTTTTGCCGGATGCCTAAAAGGCACCCACAAAAAGCCTGACAGCCTATTTAATATATTTGTAGCCCTCATTCAATATGTCGAAAATCCTTCAGGACAAGATGATAAGTGCTTGCCAAACTTCAAAAAACACATTTTTAAAAATGTGTTTTCTTAGTAAAATTTTGCTTCAAAGAGCAGTGTCTCCCCTTAAATGCCGTTCTGGAGTGCAACATGGTCATATGGGTTTTTTATTAGTCTATAAACAGCACAGGTCATCAGTGAAAAGATGAACAGAGGATGAGATGTGAAGAGGGAGATCATTAATGTAGATTAAAAAGAGCAAAGGCCCAAGCACAATTTCCTGTGGAACACCGGAAGAAACGGGAGAGAAAGAGGAGGATGTGCTGTTAGTGAAAACGAATTGAGAGCGATGAATAAGGAATGATTCAATCCACTTAGGAACATGAGGATCTAGTTTTAGGAAAGAAAGTTTAAGAAGAATGCGATTGTCCGGGACTTTAGCAAAAACTTTGGCGAAATTAAGCAAAACAGCGTCAGTAGGAAAGCCGGTGTCAAGATTTTTAAACAAATCGTTAGTTATAATAAGTAGTTGGGTCCCAATAGAAAGGCGTTTCCAGAGGCCATGCTGCACATTGGTGAAGAAATTGCAGGAATCCAGGAAGTTAATCAGGTGCCTGTAAATGACATGCTCGAGGATCTTGTAGAGGCAGGTGAGTGATATTGGCCTACTTACTAATTTTCCGGTCAGAGGGCAACACCCCTGTGTCCACGGACTGCTCAAATATCTTTGAGGTAAAGACCGGATGAAAATTTAGTGTTAGTGAGAGCCTTCGTAATGATTTCCTCTATGCCACATGATGGAGATATTTTGAGGGTTTCTATACCGCTGAAAACACCCTGAATGTTTATAACAATTGAATCCATTGGAAAATCATTCTCTATAACAGGAGAAATTCCAGTAATGGGTGTAGAAATAGTGAAAGCATCAGAAAACGCACTATTTAAATATTCACACATTCACTATTCAATATGTTATTACAAGAGCTATTCACTAGATTAATTTCAGAGTACAAATCTCCAAAATTTGCGAGGGTTGTTTATTAACATATTAGGTAGAGTTTGCAGAAAAAATGTCTGCTTAGAGTTATCAGAAAGAATGTGTGCTAACACCCCTTTAACATAGTTTTTTATTCGGAAGAGCAAGTGGCAAGCTTAGGCCAAGTATTTCCTTTTTTAGCGCTCCTGAAACATCTTTTCTTTTTATGAGATAAACGATGAAGTGGATTATTGAACCACGGTTTAGACGTAGTAGTTCGGATTGTCGAGCACAGTATGGTAATTTTCAATAAGTTGAAAAAATTTTGTCTCAAGGCTTGCCAATTTTCATTAGCATTATGGCACTGGAAGGTTTCATTGAAATAAACAAAATAAAGCCTTCGCTGTTGGACACTTCAAATACACATACAAATCATATCTGGTTTCAGTTTGAGTCTAAGAACACTGCCTTCTAACTTAACTGGCTAAAGTAGGGTTGACCAAAATCAGCCTAACAATAATTGGGAGTGCACTACACTACAGTTCTCTTAACACCTACGCTTGCAAGTCGACGGAGTGCATCGACTGCCTCTCTCTGCACGAGCAGCATTTCCTGCTGAACTGCCAGCTGCTGCTGCTGGGTGGCCAGCAGACCCTGCTGTGTGGCCAGCAGTTCTCGCTGGACAGCCAGCTGGTCCTGCCGAATGGACAGCAGATCCCGTGCCGTATCAACTCCAGACCGTTCGTACCATTCGGTGGTAGGGGGCATGCCACTTGCGCAGGACGTTCCTCCTCTCCTCCCTTTGCCATGTCGCCTTCAGCCACAGACCCCTGCATAATATAATTCAACTATGTAACACGCCACAACGCTATACAGCCCTTCTAGTTATACCTGTGTCTAATAGTGTGCACCCTAAACTCAATATTATTTTTTTTTTCGAATGTCACGGATTTATTGTCTCCGAGTGGGTCTAGAAATGTGCTGCAGCCCCGATATCCAAGCTTTCGTGGAAAACACCACGAGGCAATACATTCGCACCACATTGTTTTGTACATTAGTGTTCAATAAGGTAAAAAGCAACATGGTGTCTGCTCATGATCCAAGAGATTCACGGTACTTATCGAAGCTGCTGCTGCAGCCGTGAAGTCCCACAGCGGCGCGTCCACTGTCGGGGGCGCACGCCCGCCCCCTCGAGAGAAATCCGTCCCCACAAAAAATAATAATTTTTCTTGCTCCGCGTTTAGGGACGGCCCATCACTCGCGCCTCCACCGGCATACCTGCCAACCTGTGGACATTAAAATTCGTAAAACTCACGCAATTGCGGGGGGGGGGGGGGGGCTGTTTCGCAAGGTGGCAAGGCTTAATGTCAGCCTTGTCACCGTGCAAAACGCTTACGTTACACGTGCACGTGCTACAGAATCCAAACTTCTCTCCTTTTTGGACGGCACAAAGCACTGGAATTCCGACGTGTAGGACTTCAAGAACACCTGAAAGTACCTCTTTTTAGGTTTGGAATTTGCCATTGCACCGCGAAGCCACCGCAACCAGAGGAATGCTATGATTACACGTGTAACAAACACAGACGCTGCACTTCTCGCCTCGAAACTGGCCGAAACAGAGGCCCAACCACGTCTGAACACGCCAAACCAACATGCGCCGCCAAACACACAAACAAAGGCTTTGGGCTTTGGATTGATTTTGGATATGTGGCCCCCGGATAGACGGATAGTAAAAACCACAACGCTGCCGTGGACGGCACCTGTCGCCCTCTTGTGGCAGTGTGAGGTACCGCCAGCAACGGTTTTACGAAAAAAATGTTAAAAAAAATAGAAATGAAAAAAGTATCTTTTTTTCGTAAAATTTGAAGCAAGATTCGTAAAATCGTAGAATTAGTCCCAATTCATACATTTTACAAAAAATTCGGAAGAGTTGGCAGGTTTGCACCGGTCTTCTGTTAGGGACACGAGACTCTCAGGTCGCAAGCCCACGTCTGGCATGCACGTGAGTTCCAGAAAGTTATTCTTTATGGCCGAAGGGCATTTAACTCTCAAACTATTACGCCCCATAGTGTATCTCGCTCCTCCTTGGTAACAAAGCTCTCTGTAGCAGTCCCCGAGAAAACTCGACTTTCACCGAGAAAGTCCAGGAGAAGCGCAAACTGTCGTGCCGAGACGTAGCGACCTAGCTTGCGCTTCTTAGCGTTGTCGGCCACAACTGTCTTCGCAACGTAAAGGGTTATAGTTAACGTTGATTGTATTGCCGCGCGCAGGGTCACGGACTTCTAGTACTTTCTCGTTTATTCTTGCTCCGGACCTAACTTCTGTCGTTTATCCCTGCTTATGTTGTTCTAGAAAGTGCGTGTACATTCTCGCCGCGAGCGCGCTACGCTCGAACCTTCTCCGCCGAATCTTCGAGATAGTGACTCACTCTAGATAAGACGCCGCTCGCGACCTTGTCGAGTCAGTCTCGCCTCTGCGCTCGATCCTGCGGTTTCGCCGATATCGACGCCCGCGACGCTCTGCTGTTTTCTTTTGTACCCTTTTATTTTTGGCACAAGTTCGCCACATTAAACGTTTATTTCTTCTTGTTCATTTTCTGTTTTCTTTTGGTCACCACCCGTGACATTTTGGTGGAGGTGCTGGGTAGCAAGGGTCCTGATTCCGGGGGTAGGCCAAGGTTCCGGCGACATAGTCGGATCTCGGTCTGGTCTTCGTTGGGTTCTTGGGGGCTTGTGTTCGGACTTGCACTGCGAGAACTCGGGGGGGGGGGAGCGCTGCACGGGCATGCGGTTACCCCGCACCTCCACCAAAATGTCACGGGTGGTGACCAAAAGAAAACAGAAAATGAACAAGAAGAACGCATGGTCGGAAGGTAACGACCATGCTGGACGCCATGCTGCCCCATGAGCCATCTGACAACGAGAGCGACGACGCCCAGGCGGTTGCTCAACGCGCCGAAGAAGTCCGCCAGCTCGCCCGACTCATGATTCAAGACCAGCAACGCGTCGACGCCGGCCGCTACAACCTTCGTCGTAGGGACGTTCACTTCCAGCCCGGAGATAATGCCGCGCGCAGGGTCACGGACTTCTAGTACTTTCTCGTTTATTCTTGCTCCGGACCTAACTTCTGTCGTTTATCCCTGCTTATGTTGTTCTAGAAAGTGCGTGTACATTCTCGCCGCGAGCGCGCTACGCTCGAACCTTCTCCGCCAAATCTTCGAGATAGTGACTCACTCTAGATAAGACGCCGCTCGCGACCTTGTCGAGTCAGTCTCGCCTCTGCGCTCGATCCTGCGGTTTCGCCGATATCGACGCCCGCGACGCTCTGCTGTTTTCTTTTGTACCCTTTTAATGTGGTGAACTGGTGCCAAAAATAAAAGGGTACAAAAGAAAACAGCAGAGCGTCGCGGGCGTCGATATCGGCGAAACCGCAGGATCGAGCGCAGAGGCGAGACTGACTCGACAAGGTCGCGAGCGGCGTCTTATCTAGAGTGAGTCACTATCTCGAAGATTCGGCGGAGAAGGTTCGAGCGTAGCGCGCTCGCGGCGAGAATGTACACGCACTTTCTAGAACAACATAAGCAGGGATAAACGACAGAAGTTAGGTCCGGAGCAAGAATAAACGAGAAAGTACTAGAAGTCCGTGACCCTGCGCGCGGCATTATCCCCCCCTTTAAAAGCGCATCGTCCCGATGCAGCACAAAACAAAAAAACAAAAAAAAACAAAAAAACACAAATCCTTAACAAAACGGTAGCAAAATCGCGAGCCACAGTTCACAGTTCTCAGTTCACTCGTCGACAAGAGTAGAAAGTTCTATCGTTCGTAATACGGCTTCAGCCGGACGACGTGCACCACCTCGGAACGCGCCCATCTGCAAGACGTCAGCCGCGACCCGAGGTGGTGCACGTCGTCCGGCAGAAGCCGTATTACGAACGATAGAACTTTCTACTCTTGTCGACGAGTGAACTGAGAACTGTGAACTGTGGCTCGCGATTTTGCTACCGTTTTGTTAAGGATTTGTGTTTTTTTGTTTTTTTTGTTTTTTTGTTTTGTGCTGCATCGGGACGATGCGCTTTTAAAGGGGGGGATAATGCCACGCGCAGGGTCACGGACTTCTAGTACTTTCTCGTTTATTCTTGCTCCGGACCTAACTTCTGTCGTTTATCCCTGCTTATGTTGTTCTAGAAAGTGCGTGTACATTCTCGCCGCGAGCGCGCTACGCTCGAACCTTCTCCGCCGAATCTTCGAGATAGTGACTCACTCTAGATAAGACGCCGCTCGCGACCTTGTCGAGTCAGTCTCGCCTCTGCGCTCGATCCTTCGGTTTCGCCGATATCGACGCCCGCGACGCTCTGCTGTTTTCTTTTGTACCCTTTTATTTTTGGCACAAGTTCGCCACATTAAACGTTTATTTCTTCTTGTTCATTTTCTGTTTTCTTTTGGTCACCACCCGTGACAGTATTCATTATTTCAGTACATTAGGTACTAATTCATGCAACCAGATTTCAGGAATATATTTTTTTAATTTTGTCTCATGCTATTCATTTTGCCAACTTAAAAATAATATTTTTACTGTTATACTCACCGCGGTGTTTTGAGATTCTTAGTGGGGACACTTTAAGGGAAAAATCCCGATAGAGTTTCAACTCAGTCGTGCGTGTTGACCGACGTCACAATGGAGTTGGTTCGCCGGTGGAGTTTGCCAAAGATGGAGATGAAGCTGCTCCCATTGGCAATCCCACGAAGGAGATTCACCACTGCTTCTTTCAGCATAGACAGACGGGCGATGAGGTCAGAGGGGATGCACCTACCGAAGAAGCTGCATCACAGAGGCTAGCCTCACCACGTCATGTCATGGCCCTGCTCTTTTCAGCATGTTATTTATTATATTGCGCCAGAAAGCCAGCGACATCAGTACCTGGGCTAGTTGGTGCCACTGATCTCTGTTGTAGTAAGCTGGATCACGGATCGAGGCTCGTCTTAATAGGGAGGAGTGGTGCCACCAGCGCCCATCACTTGACATTGGCTAATGCATAAAACTCTATGGGAAAGACAAAGAAAAGTGACGTTCCCCCGCTCGTAAACTGTTGTCGTCACTGAATCTTTTGGCTGCTGTCGGGAAGCCTGTCAAATAGCTAGTGCACAAACATTAAATCTGACAACCCTCGCGGTTGTTATATAGAAATGTTTTGTTGTCGAGAGTGACTCTACTGGGCAAAAAATGTAGAGCAGCTCACTGAGAAGAGAGTTACCTAGAGGTACCTCGGAGTCGGTGGCGGTTTCAATGAGTCGGGTTTAGCAGGTGACAAGCTTGAAGGCTCTGCTATGATTTCGCTCACTCCCGGAAAGACGCTGCCAATATGGAACTTTGTTGACGTTCAGCAACTTCTGGGCTCCCCCACGACGGCATTATTGACAGCAAGTTTATTTGTTCACTCCACCACGAGAGCAAGCTTGCCAGATCAGCCATGGGTGCTATAGCACAATATTTTAATGGGCATTCGAATGCTTGAGAAATCGCAATTCAACCTCCAAACACACAATAAAATTATTGCAGCACATCGTAAAATACATGCCTTCGAACACTGTGTAGAAGCTTTAATTTCCTTCTTTTGTGTGTTTCTCCCATAGACTTGCGTGTATACACGACTTGCATTGACGTCACATCAGCCACCATTGCTGCGGACCATGCTCCAGTGCCCGTACCTTCCGGAGCACACATTTAGGACCAATGAATTTCTTCCTCTCGGAGAACTTTGCGGAGAAGAACAGATTCGATGCTGCCAAAATGTATGTTCCAGAGGGTACGGGCACAGGAATGGTATGGAGCCATATGACGTCCCGTGCAAGGCACGTATTGCTTGGTGCCAAGCAATGGCTGCCGGTGGCGCCACCGACAGACTTCCGATTTGAATCCAGCCTACTACAATAGAGACCAGTGGTTGGTCCACGCTTCAAGAAAATTGGTCTATGCGTAGGTTTACTCAGCTGCACAAATTTCCGTAGAACTATGGCAGCAGTTGAAGAAACGTTTAGGGTTCCTTCCACATGACAATGTTGGATGCGCAAGAAGCAAATGCCCGTGGCTCAGAGTCCGGTAGAGGCAAATGTGCAGCCCTCCCCGTCGCAACCTCCGAGGCGGAGTTGCGGAATTGCACACAACTGTTTTTAACACTTCGACAAGTCGCGCGAGCGAGTTGCGTGAACTGCTCGTGCCGCAGAGCACGTGAGCTCGGCAGCTGTCCAGAGTGATGAGCGAAGATTGTGGAATCAGGGCTGCCGAAGCGGCATGTACAGCCGTTACGATCAGACAGGAGCACGTCGCTTTGAAGAAAGCAGGCCAGCAGATAAGAAAGGACGTGGTTGCACACTGCACAGTTCTGACGTCACCCGTGATAAAGTTTTCGTGTCATCGACCTCCAGACCAAGCGGGCAGAGCTATACGTAGAAACCATGGTGTAATACGCCACGTCCTGTCCAGTTCTCCCTTCTTTTTCGTCTCTGTTGTTTTGGTGTTTTACATCATGATGCAAAACCAACTAGCCCAACTAGCCATCCTTATACACCTTTCCAAAAAACACTCAACCCCAGGGGCAACAAACTGTTTTCGAGCCCAGTCACTGAGTTTGAGGCTAGACTCTCACCA